AATAGTTCTGTTCAATGATCCAACAAAACTCAGTAATATGGTTATCTATCTTATACACTTAAATATATATGCAGTTATATCTTTTAGAGAACTTTCTTTCCTTTCTTTTGTACAATGACAATTACACATTTTGGGTTTTATTACTCCCACAGTTCTTACTACTTTTTTTTTTTGAAGAAAGTAAAACCAAATGTGACATACCAGGACAGAGTCAGTGAAATCAAAAGGATGGACATAATACATAATTGTAAAAACAAAATACAAGGTGATCAACAATGGTTACCATAATGCCTCTTGCTATCTTAAAAAGAATTGCCTATATCATCAGTTATAATAAAATTGTACAAAACAGTAAAGAATAAGACCAATAAAACCAAAACATTGGAGACATCAGAGGACTTCAAAAGAAGATAATAGTCAATCAGAATGGGCGTCACAATGAATCTTATTGTCTTCATAGCTGTTGCCTATACTTTCAAACTTGGTACTATCAAGCATAACAGAATAGAGGAAAATCAGTCAAAACAAGATGGTGAGAGCAATACAGAGTTTCAAATCAAGTTAATAGGAAATCAAAGTGGGTTACTATAATATATCCTGCTATTTTTTATTTATTTTTCCCTTAATTAAAAGGATAAAAATGAAAAAGTAGATAATAAAAAGGAGATTGAGATAAAAAAAGAGGGCATAACAACAAAACAGCGCAGGTCAAAACATAGCCATTTAAGCAAAATAGTGTTTCACCACAAGATAATCTCGACATAATAGTAGTTACCATAGTGTCTCTTCCCTTAAAATCTTTGGGTATAACTTTGTATACTGTAGCATCAAATGTATCAAGACAATGTAAAACTGTTCAAGAGAATGACAGTATTACAGGGTATTTAGAATCAACTAACAGAAAATGAACAATGGTTTCTGTATAATCTCCTTGCCTATAAAAGTTTTTGTTTATATTATCACATATAATAAAATCCAATAAGATACAACATGTAAAAACCCATGGAGACAGAAGAACAAAAGCTTGATGGGACTTCAAAACAAGAGGATATTAAATCAGCACTACCTATTATGATGTCTTGTTTTCTCCAAAATGGCTGTTCCTACCATCCAACCTTCTCTGCCTCATTTCTGTTGAGCTCTTTTTCTGTCATTAGTTGTCAGTTTGTCCTCTTCATTTAGCTTTCTGCTCCATTCATTGTGACCGCTCTGCCACTGTTTCTGGAATCTTGGTATTTTTCATTTTTAGAATATCCTGCAGTAATCTCTGTAGAGTTGAATTGGTGGTTGCATATTCCCCTAGTTCCTCTTTATCCTGGAAGCACCTTGTTTTTCCATCAATTTCTAGGGACAGTTGTGTAGGATATATCAATCTTGGCTGGAGGTTATCATCTTTCAAAGCTTGAATTATTTCCCCCCACGCTCTTCGTGATTTGATGGTTTGTGCCGAGAAGTCTGCTGTAATTCTGATGGGTATTCCCTTGTAAGTGATCTGTTTCTTGTCTCTGATGGCTTTTAGTATTCTGTTCTTATATTGGATTTCTGGAATTTTGGTTATTATATGCCTGGGTGTACTCTGTTTGGGTTGTAGGTGGCTGGGGTCCTGTGTGCCTCATACATCTGAGTGTCTTTACTTTTTGCTAAATTAGGGAAATTCTCCTGGATTAGTTCTGTGAATAGCTTTTGTAGTTCATTTGTTTGAGTCCCTACTTCTTCTTTTATGTTCTTAATTCTTGAGTTATGGATCCTCTTATCATCTTCTAGTCTTTGTATTATTGCTGTTTGTTTTCTTGTTATTTTTAAGAAGTTTTTCATTTCATGCTCCCACCTCACAAATCTGCCCTCCGGTTCAGATAATCTATCCTTAGTTTCTTTCAAGCTGTTATGCCAGCTTTCAATAAAGTTTTTAATTTCCTGGTAATCTCTTTGAACCTGCTTCACGTATTCTGTTTTCTCTATTTTCTCCATCAAACAATTCTCCCCTTTTTTTCTGTTCTTCCATTCCACCATCTGTTTTTTCTTGGGTGGTGCTTAGCATTTCTCTAACTATTCTACTTATTTCTTGCTTTATTTCATTAAATACTTCATTTTTGAACTCGTCTATGAAGCTCCGGAGATACCACTTTATGTCTATAGGTGCCATGTTTGATATTACATGTTTTCTGTTTTCATTCTCTTTTGCATTTACCTTTCCTGCATCAGTGTTCTCAGGATTGGGGACTGAGGACTCTTTCTTGTTGCTCCCTTTTCCCATACTTTTTGTTCCTTCCATACAAGTGTATGTGGGAGGCCCAGTTTTTTTTTTTTTTTTTTTTGTCTTTGTCTGTTACAGTTTGTTTGAATTCACCAGCTAGGTGTTCCCTCCCACTGCAGTGTACTAGGGAGACACAGACCTGTGCAGCCTCTGCTGGGCCCGCCCCTCCAGGTCAACCTACTGAATGCTTCACTGCTAGGGTGCACTGCCAGGCGCAGGGACCTGATTTGGGCCAGCCCACTGGATCCCAGTCCGCGGTGTCACCAGGCCAAGCGCTCCCCACCACTCCCGCTTGAGAGGGGAATATGCGACTAAAGTCATTGCAGGGCCCTGTTCCGGCTAGTCTGCTTGTTCCCAGAATGACCTCTGTTGGAGCCTCCCAGTCCATGAAAGGGTCCCCATTTCTCTCAGTCACCACAGATCGATGCAGGGCTCCCTGCCAGATCCGCTCTCGATGCCGTTTGGTTCACTGACTCCTGCTCTCAGAGCCCTAGTGCATCTCTCTCCCTGCCGTGCGGACCAGGACACAGCAGTAGCAGCAGAAAACCCGAATCACGGCTTCCAATGGCGCGGGATCCAGCCTCCGCACTGAGATTCCATCCGTTCCCGCCATAGCACCAGGATTGCATCTCCAGCTGGCCTCCCCCAGCCCAGCTCTTCCCTGGGTCAGCAAGGTACATCCCCTCTCATGTAGGACCCCCCACACGGCACCGCCCCTGCATTCTAAACTGGTAATCTCAGAGAGCCTCCATGGCTGCTGTTATCTGTCCACCACGCTCTCCTAGCAGATTTTCTTATTTTTATGTTGTAGGGTTTCTTTAAAATTTTTTTTGGTACAGTTCTTGAAATTGAACCTAAGGCCTCACAGCAAGTTATATTTCCAGGTTGTTTGTTTGTTAGAAATTGCATTTCCAGTTGGTTTCTCTCAGCTTAGTTCATTCTTGGGTCAGCAGGGTACATCTCCCCTCGCTTAGGACTCCTCACACAGCACCACTCCTGGATCCTGAGCTGGCTGTCTCAGAGAGCCTCCTTAGCTGCTGTTATCTATCCTCCATGTTCTCCCAGAAGGTCAGTGTACTGGATTCTTACCATAAAACACTTTATACCCATCTGTTCACATCCTACACTTCACTTCTTCCTAGTCTGGCTCTGCTCTTCCAAGCTACTGGATCTTTTTCCTCAGTATTTTACATCCATGACTTCATTTCATTCTCCTATCAGTCTTATGAGAAAGATGCTGCTTTTAGCTTCATCATACAAGAGGTAATGAAAGATTATAGAAATACTGAGTCACTTTTCTGAGGTTATACAGCTAGTGTAAACTTGTGTTTGATAAATGATTGAATTTTTTGCACCACTTTACTCTATGTACTCGACTATGTCAATCAAGATAGATTTAATCAAGAGTCAGGAAACTGGAACTCGTCTCTGAAGTAAATATGTTTTCCTTGAAGGCCATAATGTCTCCTCCAACTGTTCAGCTGCACAGTTACAGTCTATGGCCCAAACAGCCATAGACAAATACATTAAAAAGACATATTTGGGTCTCAGTCAACCCTGATTTACAAAAACAAGTTGTGGGCAGGATTTGATCAGAGGTCTGTATTTGTGAACTTGTGGTCTGCGTGACAAACAGCTCCTAAAGCTGATTGATATAATGGTTGATACACTGTGTCAACTTGAGAAGTCTAGAAGCTTAACTAAGTAGCTCAGCAATTCTACATCCTGGGGTGTAGAGGACTTGCCCCACCTGTTCTAAGATGTAGTTCATTGTGTCAATTTAAGAATTCCAGATCCAGCTATGTTGGAACTTGGGGAGCTGAGCAAAAAAGCAACAAACTCTCCTTCATGGTAAGTGGTGGTAGCACAACTAGCAGCCAGCACACTAGAGAGAGAACAAGTCAGTGTCTCCCATGAGCCTACCCATGCACGGGCTAAGAATCAAACATCCCATGCCCCTCCATCCCTCTGATAGCAATGGAAAGTTGTTGAGGTCAGCCAGAGTTGATAGCAACTAAGGCACATAAACCAACTAAATGCTTATACTGTTGGGTTGATTACCCTGACCTGGGGACAGAGACCTGAGCATCTCTTGACTGTATGCAATATTTGACTCTCTGGGTAATTATCATAAAATAATACAAGTTATATGTCCTGTGTTAAATTGTTTCCCTTTCAAACTGGACTACTATGGATGTGGCTCAATTTCTTCCTTTAAGATGGGATGTTTCCACATGTGATACGTAAAGAAGTTTGGAAAAGCCTCTGCTCCTTTCTACTTTTGTTTGGAGCTCTTCAGGGAGACCTTGACCTCTGTGTCAGTCAAACTGCTGGAACAAAATGAAACCCAAATGCCCAAGACTGCAGCCAACCCAGGACGTTATCAGAGATTGCTGAGACCAGCAAAATCCCAGCCCAACTCAACAGAAACTGCTGGCTCACAACTTCTGAGAAAATGTATGTCAGTTATTGTGATGTGGTTGTTTTCAAAAGAAACATGATTGTGTCACTAGAAAAATGAAGAGGGAGCAACCCACAAAAACAGAATGGAAAAGAGGTGCCACCGCCTGAACACCACCATCAAACATGCTGGACACAGATCGGTATGAGCAAAGAGACTTTAGGGTTTATAACACAAACATCATAGTTTGTGACCACCACAGACTCAACCAGGTTTTGTTCTTTTAGAAGAGAAAAAAGCTGAAAATGACAAATGAACAGATTTTCAAACTAGTTAGTAGGACAGTTACAATTAATACATTATGCTTTATTGTCATCATAGTAGTTATTGAGAGAACAAGATATAGGAATGCTGTCACTCAAATTGTGTTAATACAAAGGAAACAGATCACAGGCCCCCATCCCGAGCGGATGGGAGGTGGTAAATTAAACGAATCCAAGAAATGCCTGTTAGTTTCCAGAGTATACTCTCAAAAAATTGGCCTGTCTTCCGGAAGCCCATGCCCTGATAGAGACCCAGGGCACTGTGCTGCACCGCGGTTGTATCAAGCACAACTTCACCATAGCCCTGGTCCCGGGCAAACTGGAGGACAGTCCTGACCAGGGCTTTCGCTATCCCCTCTCCTCGGTGCTCCATGGCTACTGCTAGGTGAAACAGCTTCAACTGCTTCTTCCCCAGGGGTGGATTTGCCACTAGCAGAGCACTCACAATGCCCACTACCTGCCCCCCAGACTCGGCAACCCAGAAGCAAGAGTCGTGGGCACTCAGGTAGGTCTTGGTGATGTCAGCCATGTCAGTGCGCAAACATATGACAATTGCATGCTTCCACATGTATCTGACAAGGAAACACAAGAAGAGGAGCAGAATGAGGATGGATATGACAGCCAAGAGCCAAGAACCAGAGACCAGGAATACCAACAGGGCCACCCCAACCTCAAGCAGTAGGTTTCTAGGCAACATTAGCGCGTGACGGATGGCGGCAGGGACATGCTCAACAAAGCAGCTGCTGTACAAGTCCATGACTGGTGTTTGGTCTTTCTCCTGGAATGTGCGGATGTGGTAAGGAGCCATGTTGCTGCGTCTGTGTCTAAAATTTCACAGTCCTTGAGAGACAGGCAAACCTGTCTGCAGCCCTTGAGAAGAGAGGAGAAGTCATGTGAGCGCCTCATCATCTCTGGTTGCCCAGGCACCATGGATACCTTGCTCAGTGTGTGTTCTTCGGCTGTCACCCAAAGGAAGCAACCCACCAGTACTAAAAGAAAGTGAGGGTCAGAAATATGTTATTGGAACACTGGCTCCTCCCATCTTCCTCCCATTTCAGGATGTGTGACCTCTTATATACTTAATACTTATATACTTAATTTCTCTAAGACTGTGTTCAACTCACAACAAGGGAAAAAAAGAAAACTGCCTACTAAAATTGTCTGTGGCTTTATTAGAATCATGTGTATGAAATGCTGGTATATAAAGTCCCTTATGCCACAACAGGTTCTTTAAGGCTTTCTGTATATTGACATGGCACATGGGGCAGTCAGACCTTGTGTCCCTTGCATTTTGGTTCATTCCTAGTTCAATCTATTACAGTAATCCAACATTGTGCTGCAGGAAATTAAAAAAAACATCTTTTTCCCAATTATAAATATATTGGATGCTGATAAGGTAAAAGGTTCAAATTTCAAAATGGCCCAATATTGACATTCTCAATTCTTTTAGTTTCTTTTCTTGTTGCTAAGACAAAATAACCAACACTTACAAGTTATAGGAGGAAAGCTTTATGATACTTCACAGTTTGTAGCTGTTTCGGTCCACAGTCAGTTGGCTCCAAGACAGGCCAGCATAACAGAGGAACACTGCAGAGGAGGAACAGTTCATGTCAGGCAGGCAGGAAGCAGGACATAGAATCCAGGCTATAAACCTACTGGATGGTGCCACATGCCCAGGGTGGGCTTTCTCATTATCGACACCCAGAACTATGCTAAACCAACCAGTACATTAATTCGCTTATCACACACCCTCAATCTGCATTCACAAACCTAGATTCAGTCACTTCTGAAAAGCACCATCTGTGAATATACGAGGCTCTGGAGAGACATCTAGATACAAGCCATAACACTGAGAAAGTTTGGGTCTTTGGCCCATACTGAGAGGCCTGAACCTTATCCATGTCCTCTTACCTGATATCACAGAGCCAAGAATGTGCAGAGTGGCCTGAGCTTTCAGCTTCCAATTGACTCTTGGGAGAGACTGTGTAGGGCCTGCCCTACTTCTAGGCAGCAGATCTGGATGCCATTCATTGGTTGGCTCATGAATAGTTTTTAATCATCAACAGCAAGGTCCAGGAGCAGAAAAGTGCCAGAAGAGGAAGTTTTCAGCTTTTCAATACACTGTTGGATCCCTGGGGAATTATCTGGTAGACAGACACAGGATCTAAACTCAAGGGTATTCACCTCATGCCATCTCGTGACACCTATCCTGCCCTCTTTTTTAAAAAAAATTTATTTAAAGAAAGACTAAAGAAAACAGAGATTGTAGAAATAACATATGTTCAGAGAAAAAATAAACAGTAAGAAATCACTAGTTGATGTTTTCATACTGCCTTTTTACAAATAGTTGTTCAAGATACAAAAGTGAAACATATAAAGTGGGAATTCAAGCAGTAAGACTGCAAACAGTTCTGTTCAACTATTCAACAAAAACTTAGTAATATGGTTGTCAATCCTATACACTTAAACATACATGCAGTTATCCATATCTTCATTTATGTTGGGATTAAATAAACTAAAGCAGGCCTAAGTCATTCTGAACAAAGATAATAGTATTGCTGGATTTCATATCATGACACTCTGGGATCAGCACTGGGTACTGTAGTGTCTTTTAAAAAAATTTCATTTAAAGAAAGACTAAACAAAACAGAAAATGGGTAAAAATAATACATATTTTCAAAGAAAAAAATAAACAGTAAGAAATCACTAGTTGATGATTGTACATTGTCGTCTTACAAATAGTTATTCAATATACTAAAGTAGAGCATATAAAGTGGGGATTCAAATAGTGAGACTGAAACCAGTTCTGTTCAACTACCCAACAAAAACTTAGAAATATGGTTATCAATCCTATACACTTAAACATACATGCAGTTATACATGTCTTTAATTATGTTGAGACTGAATAAACCCAAGCAGGCTAATATCACTCTGAACAAAGAATAATACTATTGCTGGGTTTCACATTATGGCACTCCAGGATCAGCACTGGGTACTTGAGTGTCTCTTTTTTTTCAAAGTATCTGTTCATTTCATCATGTGTCATAAGATCATTTCTCAAACTGAAGTCAAGAAGAGCATGGAGCAAAATATTTCACATCCTAAAGGAAAATGATTTCCAACCTAGACTGATTTACCCTGCAAAACTATCTTTCAAAATGGATGGAGAAATAAGATACTTCCATGACAAAGAACGGCTGAAGAACTTCATGATCACCAAATCAACACTGCAAAGAATTCTGAAAGACAGTTCAAATACACATAGGAAAAAACCACTAAGCAAGGCAGACAATGAAATAGAATGGAAAGATAAAGATGCAACAGCAGAAAGATAACATATCAACAATAAATCAATATATAACAGCTACAACCATTAATGTAAATGGTCTCAATTCACCAATTAAAAGAAACAGACTGGCAGAATGGATCAAGAAACAACATTCAACCATACGATGTCTACAAAAAAACCCATCTAACCCAAAACAAAACTCATAGACTGAAAGTCAAAGGATGGTCAAAACAATACTTCCTGCAACAGGAACCCCCCCCAAAAAAAGCAGGGGTAGCTATTCTGCTTGCAGACAATGTGAACTTCAAACCAAGAATGATCCAAAGGGATAAAGAAGGTCACTACATACTAGTTAGGGGAAAACTTGAAGAGGAAGAGATAACAATATTAAATATATATGCACCAAATTCCAGAGCACTCAGTTACACAAATCAAGTATTAATAGAAATGAAAAATCAAATTAGCAATAACACAATTATAACACGAGACCTTAACACACCCATTGACACCAAGGGACAGATGAACCAGACAGAAAATCAGCAAAGAAATAACAGAACTGAATCACACCTGTGAACAAATGGACTTGATAGACATATACAGAGTGTTCCATCCAACAACATTAGCATATACATTCTTTTCAGCAGTGCATGGAACATTCTCTAAAATAGACCATATACTAGCCCACAGAACATATTTAAGTAAATGCAAAAGAGCTGAAATTATCCCATGCATGTTATCAGATCATAGCACCATGAAACTAGAAATTAAATGATAAAAGGAACTGCAAAAACCCCACAAACGCATGGAAATTGAATAATACACTCTTGAGCAATCAGTGGATCACAGATGAAATTAAAGAAAAAATTAAACAATAGCTACAGGCAAATGAAAATACAAATACAACTTATCAGAATCTATGGGATGCAATGAAAGCAGTCCTCAGAGGAAAATTTACTGAGTTCCCAATCAGGAAAACAGAATGAATACAAATAAACAACCTGATGCCACACCTCAGACATCTAGAAAAAGAAGAGCAAATCAAGCCCAAAGCCAAAAGAAGGGAGGAAATTATAAAAATCAGAGCAGAAATTAATGCAATAGAGACTAAGAAAACAATCCAAAGAATGATTGAATCAAAGAGTTGGTTCTTTGAAAGAATAAACAAAATTGATAAGCCCCTAGCCAACCTTATTTAAAAAGGAAAGAAAAAACTCAATTTCATGCAATAAGGAATGAAAAAGGTGAAATCACTACAGACTCTGTGGAGATACAGAAGATCATCAACACCTATTTCAAAAACTCTACTCTCGTAGATTTGATAACACAGAAGAAATGGACAGATTCCTAGAAACATATGAAGTACCAAAGTGGGTCAAGAAGATGTAAAACTGCTGAATAATCCAACTTCTATTAATAAAATTGAAAATGTAATTAAGTCCTTATCTACAAAGAAGAGCCCAGGCCCAGACGGATTCACAGCAAAATTCTACAAGAAATACCAAGAAGACTTAATGTCGACACTCCTCAAACTCTTCAATGAAATCAAAAGGGAAGCAATTCTTCCTAAGTCATTCCTGGAAGGAGATATTGCTCAGTACCAAAACCTGAGAGACCCAGCTAAAAAAGAAAACTACAGGCCAATCTCCCGAATGAATACAGATGCAAAAATCCTCAATAAAATACTGGCAAATAGGATGCAACAAATCACCAAGAAGATTATACACCATAACCAAGTGGGATTCATCCCAGGTGTAATCAATAAATGTAACCCACCATATAAATAGAGCCACAAGTAAGAATCACATGATCATTTCTATAGATGCAGAAAAGGCTTTTGACAAAGTCCAACACTCATTCATGATAAGAACCTTCCAGAAAAATGGATGGTCTTTACCTCAATATAATAAAGGCCATCTATGACAAACCAACAGCCAGCATTATATTAAATGGCCAAAAACTAAAGACCTTTACCTTAAAATCAGGCACAAGACAAGGATGTCCCTTATCACTGCTCCTATTCAACATAGTACTGAAAATACTAGCCAGAGCAATTAGACAAGAGAGAGAAATAAAAAGGGTAAATGTCCGGAGCCGCTTCCGTCCCGCAGAATGGAGCACACCAACACTCAGCCTCTGCAAGCACCTTTATTGACTGGGCAGCAACCTCAATACATGTCCGTCCTCGACGGCTTCTTCCGTGTTGTGCATCGGGCACTTCCTATACTTGGGCTTATATAGCTAATGTTATCCAATCATGGGATTACACGTGGGGACAGGCGATTGGGCGGCAAAAACATAGTTTTGTGGTTTCAGTCAAGTTGGTGTGAACGGGAGTGACACACACCCGGAAGGACAGCCACCTCTGGTCGCAAAGTTGAGTGGCGACCTGCCACAGGGCATCGATCTCTTGTCCAATGAGTTGGATTTCTTCTTGTAGCCGGAGTATTGCTTGGCTGTTTAGCTCTATCTGTTGCCTTTGAGCCTTGATGGTCTCTCGTGTGGCGTTGCTCAGCCGATTGACTGCATCCATGGTCAGCGCGAGCTGCTCGGAGGTCCATGCCTGCAAAACAGCCTGTCCCACTGCAGGGACAAACAGAGAAGAGACCACCCCCGCTGCCTGCCACAACCAATCTTTTATCCCTTCTTTAGTTCTGGTTGGTAAGGAAGAGAGCGAGATCTGCTGTGAGACCGGTCCAACCCAGTCCTGGGCTTGCACGGGAATCCAAAGATCAGGGAGAGAACAGCATAGGCTGCTCATTTTTTTTTTTTTTTTTTTTTTTTGGTCTTTTTCATTTTTATCGGTACCGGGGATCGAACTGACGACCGCCTGCTTGCAAGGCAGGTGCTTACGCTGCTCAGCTAAATCCCCAGCCCCTTCCTGTCCCTCTTAGTGAGGGCGGGCACAGGAGAGGTATTTCCTTGCAATTTGATGCCCAAGCCTTTGCCAGGGGTATAGCCCATCCGTTTCATCATGTTTTGAGCCACCTCGGAACATCCCGTATTGGCCACACTCAAAACATTTTTTTTTTTTTGGGGGCTTTTTTCATTTTTATCGGTACCAGGGATCGAACTGACGACCGCCTGCTTGCAAGGCAGGTGCTTATGCCGCTGAGCTAAACCCCCAGCCCCACATTTTTTACTCTTTTGCATCTGCTGTTGTGTTGCTGGAGGGCAGGAGCCGAGGGCTGCATTAATTGAAGCACCCACCAGGGCTGCAAGACCTGAATTAGAGAGGGGTCCCCCCACTTCTCTACATAATTTGGTCCAGGTTTCTAAACTCTTGTTTTTATGTGGTGTAATGACTGCACGGCAGTCCTTAGTACACTGCTCAAAGACTAGCTGCTTTACCAGGGGCTGCGCCACACTGAGGTCGGGGAAGACCTTGCCGGCGGCATCTAGCATCCTGGCCACAAAGTCAGAGAATGGCTCTGTCATCCCTTGCACAATCTTAGTAAGACAGGCAGTATGTTCGCCTGCCTTGGCAAGTTGTTTCCAAGCGGCGATGGCACACTTAGTAATCTGATCATAAACTGCCTGAGGATGTCGAATTTGATCCTGCGCATGGGCTCCCTGGCCTAATAACATATCTTTGTTCCATCTAGCATTGCGCTCTCTAGCGTTTTTCTCAGCCTGCTCTCCGCAATACTCATCATTCCATGCCTTCCAGTCCATAAATTGGCCTGGGGACAAACACGCCCTTGCGAGTTGTGCCCAATCCGAGGGTGTCAGAGGGGTGGCTCCTATGTTTTCCAAAAGAGCCTGCGTAAAGGGGGCGTTGGGGCCGTAAGTGGAGACTGCCTCTTTTAACCCCTTAACCACTTTCATGTCCAGGGGCTGATAATAAGGCGCGCTGGCCTGGTCCTGGAGGACTGGGTAGAAGCTGGGAGCGTCATACGAGGCAAGGCCCCTACGCAAGACGTCCCATAAACGGCCATGAAATGAGCGGCGCCCGGAGAACGGAAGTGTGGCAGGGAAGGGAGGAGGCGGCCCCCAACCACCAGGGGCATTCATTCCCTGGGGTGGTTCCCAGGGAGGGGCCGACGGGACTAACCCCGCCTCGCCGGGGGTGCGCATTTCCTGCAGATCACTCTCCACCCTCTCGAGCTCCTCCCCTAGGCTCTCCATCATCCCTTCACATAAGGCTCCAGCAGGTTTATGAACTTTCTGCCCTGTATTGCGATGTGGGCCTATCTTACTGTCAGTTTCCTCCTTTGGGCCCACCTTAGGGTCTTCCCCCTCTGAATCTGAATGGCTCGGTGAGCCAACCTCTGAGGCCTCCCTGGAGCTCTCCGAGCGCGCCTGCTCGAAAAAGCGTGGCGTGCCTCTTTGAGTCCCTGGGCTGCGCCTACCATACTTTCGGTTCTGAGACATGCACGAACCATCTCCCAAATGGGGCGAACCATGGGGTCGACACCCGTGCCTTGCTCTTCTGCAAATTGAATGTCTCGTCCTAATTTCTCCCAGGAGGGCAAGGTGAGGGAGCCGGTGGGCAGGAACCACGGGGCCAAATCGTTGATGCATTTGAAGAATTGTAAAACCGTTTGTTTTTCCATCCTAATTCCTCGTGCCCCAAGCAACATCCGCAATGATAGGGCGAGGGGGCCACAATTAACATTGCCCATTTCAGCAAATATAGAAAGCCCCGAGGCGCTATAGCCAGCAGGGGCCTGCCCTTCCTTTTCGGGCAAAATCGACCCTAACAAGGGGTCGACTAACAAATCCCTTAAAGTGCGTCCACCAAGGGCCGGGTTAAGCCTCCACTCACCCGCAGGTACGTACCGTCTCTCAACGCAGTCACAGGAGTCGCAGAAGGCACGGGAATGGTTTCGAGTCCCCGTAGCTGTCCGGAGCCGCTTCCGTCCCGCGGAATGGAGCACACGAACACTCAGCCTCTGCAAGCACCTTTATTGACTGGGCAGCAACCTCAATACATGTCCGTCCTCGACGGCTTCTTCCGTGTTGTGCGTCGGGCACTTCCTATACTTGGGCTTATATAGCTAATGTTATCCAATCATGGGATTACACGTGGGGACAGGCGATTGGGCGGCAACAAGGAAGCAATCAATCATTACCATATATGGCGGGGACAGTAAGCCGAGCAAGAACCAGGAAGCAGGATGTGTGTGCCATCTTGGGCACATGATGGGCGGGGGAGCAGCGGAGGCGGCAGGCAGGTGCCATCTTATGAATATGCTCTCATGAATAACATGGCAGGCTCCCAACAGGTAAAGATAGGAAAATAGGAAGTTAAATTATCTTTATTTGTGGATGACATGATACTCTACATAGAAGACCCCCAAAACTCCATTGAAAGACTCCTAGATATAATAAATAAATTCAGCAATGTAGCTGAATACAAAATCAAACTCAAAAATCTAGCATTCCTATATACTAACAACAAAATCACTGACAGAGACATAAGAGAAGCTATACCCTTCACACTAGCATCCAAAAAAAATGAAATACTTAGGAATTAATCTCACAAAAGAAGTAAAAGATCTATACAGGGAAAATTACAATACATTGAAAAAAGAAACTGAAGAGGATCTTAGAAAATGGAAAGATATCCCTTGCTCATGGAAAGGAAGAATAAATATTGGGAAAATGGCCATTCTCCCAAAACTGTTATACATATTCAATGCAATCCCAATGAAAATACCATCAGCATACCTCATATATCTAGAGAAATCACTCCTAAAATTCATTTGGAACCAGAAGAGACCTAGAATAGCAAAGATTCTAAGCAGCAAAGGCAAGGCAGGAGGCATCACAATCCCTGACTTGAAGTTATACTACAAAGCTACTATAATAAAATCCACATGGTACTGGAATAAAAACAAATCTGAAGATCAGTGGAATAGATTAGAAGATACAGCCACAATTACAAACACACTCAACCACCTTATCTTTGATAAAGGGGCCAAACATGTTCACTGGAAGAACGACAGTATCTTTAATAAATGATGCTGGAAAAATTGGCTCTCCATATGTCAAAAACTAAAACTAGACCCATGCCTATCACCATGTACCAAACTAAAATATAAATGTATGAAAGATCTGAATATTAAAACAGAAACACTAAATCTGTTGGAAGACCAAGTAGGTAAAAATCTTGAAGACATGGGTAGGTAGAGAATTCATGAACAGGAATCAAGCTGCACGGGAACTACTTCCCAGAGTCAGTAACTGGGATCACATCTTATTAAAACATTTCTGCATGTTAAAAGAAATCTCCAGCATTGGGCTGGGGATTTAGCTCAGCGGCATAAGCACCTGTCTTGCAAGCAGGCAGTCGTGAGTTCGATCCCTGGTACTGATAAAAATGAAAAAGAAAAAAAAAAAAAGAAATCTCCAGCATAGTGAAAAAAAACCACAAACTGGGAAAAAAAATCTTAGTAAACTGTCCCTCAGACAAAGGACTTCTGTCTAAAACATATAAAGAATTTTTAAAAACCAGACCCCCGAAATTCAAAGACCCAATCCAAAAATAGGCATCTGAGATGAAGTTCTCATATGAAGAAATACAAATGGCAAATAAATACATGAAAAAATGTTCACCATCATTACTCATTAGAGAAATGCAAATTAAAACAACACAGATTCCATCTCACTCCAGAAAGAATGACCAGGATCAAGAAAACTACCAACAACAAATGCTGGAGAGGCTGTGGGGAGAAAGGAACTCTCTTGCATTGTTGGTGGGAGTGTAGAGTGGTGCAACCACTGTGGAGGTTTAGTTTGGAGATTCCTCAAAAAGCTGGGATTGGAATACTATTTGACCCAGGTATTCTACTTCTAGGCATATTCCCAAAAGAACTGAAAACATCATACCACAGTGATATATGTGCACCCATGTTTATAGCAGCACAATTTGTGATAGCCAGATTTTGGAAACAACCTAAGTGTCCATCAACTGAGGAATGGATTTAAAAAGTCATGGTATTTTTATACAATGGAGTACTACTCAGCTATAAAGAATGATCACATTGAGATATTTATAAATGAATGTATGCAACTTGAGACCATACTCATAAGCAAAATAAATCAAACTCACATGTATAAATACCATATAGTCTTCCTAGTGTAAGAAATGGTAAGAGTACATAACATTTTATGGTAATCATGATTCCCCATTACATTGCTTTGAAGCCTTATAATGTTTTCATTCATTAGTTGGAATGGTTTTATTCTGGTTTGTTTGATTTTACTATCTGTGATGGTATGAACAGCTATTTGGAAGAAAATAAGACATGATAATAGCCAGTGCTGATTTTTAATATCTTGCTTTGAAGTCCTACATTGCTTTTGTTCTTCTGTTTCCATTGGTTCTATCATGTTGGATCTTATTGGATTTTATTATGTGTGATATTATAAACAAAATCTTTATGGAAAATGAAATAATATAGTAGCCATTGTTCATTTTTGGTTATTTGGTTCTGAATGCCCTGTAATACTTTCATTCTCTTGAATGGTTTTATACTATTTTGTTACATTTGATACTATTGTATGTCAAGGTATGCTCAAGTATTTCAAAGAAAGAGACATTGTGGTAGCTACTGTTAATATCAGGTTGTCTTGTGGTGAACTACTGTGTTGCTTACATTGTTCTGTTCTGATTTGCTTTGTTCTGTCCTCTTTTGTCTTTATCTCTTTAAAATAAAAAAAAATTTAAAAAGAGTCTAAAGGGAGACATATAACTCAGAGACATATGAATGATCCTGGAAAGAACCTGGTGTCTAGATACAGTTGTGCAGGTACAAGAATACCTGGTGAGGAATACAGAGATCCCTTTCCTGCCCTCACTGCAATCTGGGAAGTTTATATTTGTAATCCTAAAGAAACACTATTGGAATTCTAGCTAGTTAATTCCACTCTACCAACTCCAGTGCAACCTATAAGGAGAATAAAAACACCAAGACGTATTTGTATTTATGGGAGGCCACAGGGTCCTAAGTCCAACCAGGGTGAAGTTTCATGGCCTCAACCAGGGTTCTAACCCGGGTTTTATTGATTTGTGAAGAAAGGAGTGCTTTGGGGAAGGTTGACTGTGAGAACTCTGGGCAGAGACAGCTAGGAGTAGTGAAAGCATCTCTGTAGTACTCAGAGAGAAGGATGTTTAGAAAGAGAAATCTGTGTACACAATTGAGTGAACATTTAATGCTTTGGGGGCAGGTGCTTCAGCTCTGATATGCCAACTTTTGTGCCCTGGGAAGCCGTAGCCTCTTATCTCCTGGCTCAGATCCAGTCTGCAGCCCCCAAGTAAGTGGCTTTCCATTCTCTCCCGCTGAACCATGTTTGGGGAGTCACTGCGGCAGGGAAATAGTGACTTTCCCTAGTCTCACATGTCATGTATCAGCACCTCAACTAGCCCTATTGACATTGCTTAGAGCCAATTGAATGGAAAAGGAAATAATTTAGCCAGTGTTGTACATATTAGTATGTGGAGATAAGGCCAGGTTTAGTTGAAGAGGAGGTAATTGCTCTTTATTCAAGGAAAATCATCCAGGTGGTCCTCCACACATGAATGTCTACTGTGAAATAATATACAATGCATTCTGATTCCCATGGCACAAGCCTTGTTAGGAGTCGGGCTTGAAGAAAAAAGATCTTCTTATCTAATTTGTTGAAGGTCTTGCTTGTGTGCCCACCTCCTTCTGCAGGACTTCACTTAGTTGACAAGGACTTATTTACATGTGAGACAGCGAAGATGGTGAAATCTGCACCACCCAGAGTTACATTTGGGGGCAGAAATGGCAGGAGTAAGAATAATTCAAAGAGTCATGAGCAGAGGAAGGGGTCAGAGAGGACAGGACAGTGGCATGAGCACTTAGGACATTGGCCTCCAGATTGCAGAGTGCTCCTAATGTCTCTGAGTGTACTAGCTCGTTGGAAACCAAAACCATGCTGGAGTTTACACACTGTCCTTTTGCTGTATCTCCCTGTTTACACAGTGATTTGGGTGAGTCCCCAGAACTTAAGTTATATTAAGCCTCTTTACCCTTAGGATTCATCTCAGAATTTCTGAAGCAGTCTTCATAAAGAGCCTGGGTTTTCTAGTCAGAATTAGCTGGTTTCTTCATTCAATTTACAGGGCTGTCTCATTATCACATGCCAGGTCCGGTCCTTGGCATAAAGTGCAGCAGATGTGGGGGGCATGATCCTCATCCTCAGTAGGACAAGCCTGTGTAGTCCCAGGACAGTGCAGCAGAGAGACATCCACATCCAGAATCACTTGGGCAAGAGGTTAAACTTGACTGTTAGGACTCTTATGTTGGAAGCGCGGAAAGGAATTGAATTGGCTTAAGAAATGATGGAATGGCTCCTACACTGCCAAGTCCTTGAATAAAGACAGGGTGACCCGAAGTTGAGTTTGACTTCATGGCTTTTCTGCTATTCTGTGGGCTGCAGCACTTTCCTTTCACAGTTGACCTCTTTGAATTTAGGTTGTGCTGCAGCTGTGATTGAAGCTGTAGCTAAGAGTGAGAATTTATGGCCCAACATTCCCAGCACTAGCACATGTTGAAATGTTCGGTCTCAAGTTCATTTGCACTTTCTGAGGACTAAATGTGTAACTCTCACTGCAATGACAAACTGTTTGTTATGTTGAAAAGGGCCTCTCTGAAAGATCTCAGCACCCAAATGGAGACTGACACCCAGAGTGACTCCAGGAAAAGAGAACAATAGAGAAAGAGGAACCTAATACCCAGATACTGGCAGCACAAAGAGGAGCAGAGGCTCTGTGTATATGCATATGAGTATCTCAAGACTGATGGAGCTCTCCTGGGAGACGCAGGACACTGCTAACTTGATAAAGGGAATGACAGTGCACCTGGGAGTGAATCCTGTGACCACTCCCAACACAAAAGCTGTCTGTCAGTGGCCAGGTATTGAGCATGGGTTCTGGTGGGCAGCACCTGGTGTCCATCCAACTGTGTATTTGTGGTTTTGCAAAGACAATAATATCCTGAGGCACAAATATATTGAGCCTCTCATTCTGTGACCCTCTGATTGAACTTATTATGAGACAGGCAGTGGGACAGTAAATTGTGATTCTG